TGAATCACCAAAACATAATCACTTTCCATTTTTTAATCACAGAGTATACTAGGTGAGATTTATTTCCGATCTTACTGTTCTGTCCATGTATCTAACTATCCAGGTTATCGCAAAAGGGTTTAGCCGTGTTCTAAAAGCATAACAAAGATGAGTTTCTTATTACACAGATTTTAGGGCTAGTGAAATTCCCCTGAGCCCTAGCAAATTCATCCTGAAATCGGGTCATTGAATATCGAACAAATCATCGATCCTCATCAAAGTCAAAAACAACCAACGCGCATCAGTGAATCACACACCATGGATTGGCCCACGCGGCAATGGTTTCGCTTTCGCTTGCATCTACTGTAATCAAGATATTTCTGCAATAACGTTCTCTGTGTTGTACAGTTATTAAAGCATCTAGGGTACCTTGATACGTCGATGGGGTAGTTCATGTAAGGTACTGACCACGAGGTGTGACTTTGACGTTAGCTCGTTCGTTGCACCATTCCCGTCTCACCCGAATAGGCTTCGCATTATTCGATATAGATCATCTACTTTGACGATCTACAACATATATAATTTGCTGTTTATAACTGAGAACTTTCAAAAATGAATAACAGACGGTTTACTCTGAGTCAAACCATTTTATGCTGTTCATTTCTAATCTAGTTCCGACTAGATTTGAGATCCATAATCACAAAGTTGTTTTGGACAGAATTGTTGTTGAATCTTGAGTATGCATTATATTAATGATACTACAGGTATACGGAGTTTAACAACGTCTTTTTGCGTAACATATTTATTATTAAAATGTGCCATACCGCCAAATTAGAAGTTAAAACGAAAACGTTCAAAGATATATTCGAAAGGATTTCAATATATCGGAAAGTGTTTAATCAAAGCTGTAAATATTAACAAGGCTTTTTGGACAACAGACGCCTATATAATGACTAATTAAGAACTAATATACGAGTCCATATCTATAATATTTTCTTTGTAAACAAAATATCGTAGGTTTTTCATACGTCATCTCACAGGGCATAACAGAACTATGGAAGAACCGTTTATAACAACGACACAAACAAAAACAACGACAAACTCAAGATATCCAAAGGAGTGTGAGATTGAATGTATTAGGTCGAAGGTCGATAATTTTTATCCGAAGTAAACAAACTAAAAATGATTGAAATTGTGGCACAAATTTCTGTTCACTCACAAGCATGTATTTCATATTGCAAAAAATTGAGAATTATGCAATATACGCTACTGCATAATTTTTGCCGTCTGTTGTTTAAATGTTGATTTATTTAGTTAGAGCTAAGGAACGTTAAAGTGAATATTTAAAGTGAACGTTACGCTGTTTATCTCGCATTCAGTTAATCGGATTATCTTATATTTACGGCTGTATTATTACTGTTGTTTGCCTCCCTTATTGATTGGTAATAGATTTTATGTATTTAATGCAGCGATTAGGTGTGATACTCTCATATATGCATCTGATTAGTAACTTTAATTTTCATGGGATTATTATTGATGAAATCACCCTCACAGGTGTATCACTTGGTAAATCTATTGAAAGTTGGTTTGGTCCAAATACTGTTGCATAGATCTAAGTGAAAATTAAGATAAGGTCTGCAACCTAGGTCTTAGATAAGGACTAGAAAGTTTTTCACTTCACTATAGAAATAGAGGCCAGACTAAGAATGTTGGATTCAATAAGTGAGTCCTCGTTTTAGGCATTAAGCGAATATTAGAACGAGTTCACTAGTAATGTACAAGAATAATTAGAAGCTTCATTGATCTGTTTTGTGGATACAAACCAAGACGCTCCAACCTCTTTTCGTTATCTTATCACACGTTGATAGGTGATCTAATGCTGGCCTACCGCATACTAAACAATAGTTTTGCCTTCAAATGCTCTGATACGGCTGAGAGTAGGAACAGTCCTCTCTTTCTCTGTGAATGCTTTCACGTGGCCTCGTGCATGCAACCACTTACAGGAAGGTCCTAATCACTGCCTTCTCATAGCGGGGGCGTTGTTTTCAAAATTATGGGGACGAAACTGCATGGATTAATATAGGTCGATAGACCTCCTATCCTTATTACTGAAGACTGAAACGCGAGTGTCCAGCGCTTTAACTACATTGATGAACACGGAGACTCCGTCTATGATAGTTGGAAAACCCTGATTTCAGATCAGTGGTGCACACTGGTTCCAGTATCCTAAGGGAACAAATGGTGTAAGTACCTATCGTTGGTCACCGGCTGCCATAGGATCGCATATTTTGACGCTGCTCCACTGCCATGTGAATTGGGCGTTTAGGTCAAAGTTTCCGGGCGTGGCGTTCTAAGAAAACTACCTACTTCCGTTCAGACGTCCGAGGAGTGTCATCTATTACAATAACTACTGGCCTCATTGTTATTGTTTGGCACATATGTACTAATATTTATGTGTCCAAATAAATAAATAAATAAATACTAGACGATGATCTTTGCGATAATATGCATCGTCTTTTTGGCTCATATAAGACTGATCATCACGGAGAACCTTTTAGGAATGTTCAAAAATGAGACCAAATTGTATCAAATCAGACCGCGTAGCTATTTACTAGGACTTTTTACTGGAATACATAATATCATTCAAGGCGACGTCGGATCTTTACATTGTAACATATAACGAGGATTAATTTGGGTAATTTACCTTTTGTCTTCGCCACTGACTACTGGGTACTTTTCTCGTGTTTTTCATCCCCGGATATCCTTACTGTCGCTGCTTCGCACGCTTTCGCAGCATCTAAAGTACATTCAAGTTAGACTCAAACTCCTGATTCTCTAATTTTATTTTATCAGACTGTCTTAATCTCATAATTGAGTCACCATTAATTGTTGTCAGTTACTCGCATTTAGGAAGGTGAATCCCATGTGTCTCTTGAGTCCTAGAAATAAGACTTTCTGCATTTGTTTTTTTCAGGTACTGTTCTGCACTCAGAGTGTTCATTGAATTATTCAGAATACGCATATAACATATTTCCACTCTGTGAAGATGCTGACAAAACATAACAGTACTAGTATGTTTATGGTGCGTTTCTATCCCTCTAAACGCAAGATGTTATTGCAAGACATGTCTGTTTTGACACTTAAACTTAAGATAAAACGTGAAGCGCCTACTTAAGCCAACTACTCCATTTTTCTTAAACATTTTAATCCTGTTGGGCTTGTGCCTGAAAAAATGTATTTATGGATTCAAAAAGAGCAATTTGTATTGCTTAATGTGTCACATTTGGCATAGGTAAGATTTTCGTCCACTGATTAGAAGTCTTGCATACTTCACAGTAGATCACTCTACATCAATCTATGGCTGTAAAACACAGTCTGCAAAGGTTTAAAACGGGCACGAAAGTCAGGTTTTCGATTGAGCATGTCTTACAAACATTTCTTTGAACATTGTTGAGACCAGGTATAAGATAACAGTCGAATATAGAAAATAGATTGATGAAGGCGAAGTGCGCTTGACCACTTACTTTGATAAAAGATACCTATCAGAAGGGGTTTGTGGAGATTTTTAGAGAATTTCACAGATTGAAATCATGAGTCAGTTGAAGCTAGACCACCACGGAAAACCTGGAAGCATTGGACGGCCGTTTCGTCCTAGTATGGGACTCCTCAGCAGTGCGCATCCACGATCCCGCCCCACAGTGAGATTCGAACCCAGAACTTATCAGTCTCTCACTCGAGCGTTAAACTATTAGACCACTGAGCAGGCCGGCATCCAACGGTGTTAATGTCTAACTTCAACCAATCCACGAAGTTGCGCCACCGTACACCATTGTCTTCAGTGAGCTTATATCTCACGACAGACCTGGTTGAACTCCACTGGTAGTGGCTTGTCACTAGAACTCCAGGAGTATCTCTTGAAGTTAGTCACTAGTGAACAGATGATTATTATCAGAAGGGGTTTGTGGAGATTTTTAAAAATTTTCGCAGATTGAAATCATGAGTCAGTTGAAGCTAGACCACCATGGAAAACCTGGATATTAGCTCACTGAAGACAATGGTGTACGGTGGCGCAACTTCGTGGATTGGTTGAAGTTAGACATTAACACCGTTGGATGCCGGTCTACTCAGTGGCCTAATGGTTAAGTACTCGCGCGCGAAGCCAGCAGGTCCTGGGTTCGAATCCCGCGGGTTGCGGGATCGTGGATGCGCACTACTGAGGAGTCCCATACTAGGACGAAACGGCCGTCCAGTGCTTCCAGGTTTTCAATGGTGGTCTAGCTTCAACTGACTCATGATTTTAATCTGTAAAAGATACCTGTTTGAAAGTACGTTGGAGAGAAGCTAGGGGCATTCAAAAGAAACGTTGCATCAATCATTAGGTCACTGACTAGTGAACTGCGCGACGTAGGTGGGTACAGACTGTCTAGTTGGGGTTTTCGTGACAGCCGCGGTCAGTGGTTGAAGGCTTTGGGCGATATATATGAGAATCACTTGAAATGGCTCAGAATCATTCACTAATTATTTGTCTCTTGATCTTGAATTCCAATTTTACTTTGTTCAAACATCTCCACTCTGTCTTTTCAAACCAAACTTTCAAGGTTTTGAATCCGTTGTAAATAATTAATACTATATCATTTCGGTTTCGTTTATTGTTTTCATCTCGTCGTACTAATTAAGTATAGGAACTTATCCTAGTCACAGACCTTATGTTAATAATGTCTGTCTTCCTGTTTCTAAATTAATTTGTGAACTGCTATGCACGTTCAAAAAATGCTAAATACTATCTGGTTAGATCCGAGCGGTTACATGTACCTTTAATTAAAGAATTTATTACCAAAAAATTACAGAGATCCGATTGAGTTGAGTATCTCGTGCATTCAAATCTTTCGCATATTATTTACAGTTTTATTATTCTTGTCTGTTTTTAACTATATATTATATGGTTACTGATTTAATAATAAACTATAACACAAATTTCTTTGCTTTTATCTCTCTTGTTTTATTTGCTTTTGTATTTTTCAGACCCTCGGAAGTCTGAATGGTCATTGCTTATTTAGCCTAAATAAATTATCAGTGAAATTCTTACTGTAACTTCATGGTCAAATACTAGTCATACATGTAATAAATTCTGGACGTTGCTTTAGCAACATGACTGAACAAAATCTTGTTTGTTTACTGCAGAAGCCCTCTAAAAACCGTTCACAAGTCATCTCATATCAGCTATCAAAGATATTTAAAAATTTGTATCAATTTTCGGCTTTAGATGATGATATAATTTCATACTTGCAGGCGGCGAAAGACAGTGATGATGCGAAACATTCATTGTATATAAAAGAAATTGATAAGGTAGGGAAGCTTATAAACACTCAATATTTTTAGGTTTTGGAAAAGCATAAAGGTGTTATTGATGAGGTGAACACTGCAGAATCACGAATTAGGGATTATAGTTTGAGTAAACATTTATTTCATAACTCAGAAAACGAATCGCCAAGACCAGTACTCAGCAATTTGCTTAGTTTTGATGAAGTGGATGGTTTGTAAACGATTTTCTCTCACTGGGTGTAGACTCATTTTTAGGTGACCTTGGCTTTTTGACAAAGGAGGATATTTATTTCAATGGAAAACCAAGAAGCCATGGTAAGATGGTTTATGTATGAGTAGTTCTGTCTATTTTTATATGTTAAGTGTCTACACGTGCCAACGACTTTACTATGTTTCTATTTGACGTAATAAGAAACTCGATAATTTGACATCTTTTTCTCAATTTACTGATCGATCACTATTTGAAGTAATATAACAGATATTTTGTGTGTTCCGAAAATTTCAAACAATTAGTCCCTTTGATAAATTTTAGTAATGCAGTGAGAAGACGTAGTTTATCAGAATTATGTGATATATTTGCGCAATACATTTCGAACAATCTGATCACACATATACTTGTTAAGAACATTTATATATGAAAATTAAAAGGTCAACTATACAGGTTAAGGGTAAGTCATAACAAAGGAAAATATTAAAGTACACAAAAACAAATGTGATTACCATTCTGGATAATAAATCAGGATAGGTTAAGTGTAAGGACAAATTGTTTTTGAACCCATAAAGGGGGTTTCAACTTCCATATAGCCAAGGCTTCAATAAACCTTAGTATACGTCCTTGAAGGCTTTTGTACAACACAACAAATGCTGATTTGATATCAACCTTATGACCCGTCTCAATCAAATGTATCGCAATGGATGATGATGTCTGTCTATCCTGTGATCGTATTTGACCATCGGAATTCATCTGATTCTACAACCATTTTGGTATATGTTCACCCACCCGTAATTGCAAATCACGATTGCTCCTCCCTATGTACGTGTTTCCACACATACGTGTAAATTGATAGATCTACTAATCTAATTCACTCCGAAATAAAAAATAAGGTGGATAAATGATTGATAGTTTCCTTAGAGTAACAAATAGTAGTCATATGACTGGACACCATAATCAGAAATCTACTGCATAATGAACAGTGTTTCACATCATTTGACTAACATTCTTTCACAATGTAAGATTACCACTATTATTCTTTATATAACATTTCATTTTTAAGTTTAGACTGTGTTACTAAATTTTGTAAGAGCATTCGGTCTTGGTAGTTGTTATAGCAGATAAGGCTAGTATTTAGTGAAATTATATTGGCGCATATTATTTTGCAGGTTAGGAAAGCTGTGAAGTTAAAAAAATTTGTCGAATAAGTGACATAAACGTCGCTTATACGTTCGGTAAAGGAAATATTATCAATAAGGTAGATAGGATGGTCTTTAATGTAAAAAAAATTTATCAATTAATACAAACACTACGGTGTACCAAGACGTTATTAGAACTAGCATAAGTCTGTAATAATGAATACATTATTTAAAAAGTGTTTCTGCTAAACTTGAAGCATATCCTTTTATTCTGTATATACATACAAATACATTTTCCTTTGGACAGATAAGAAGCTTATGAAATAAACATGTCATTGTAATTCTAATAAATACTTTACATTAACCAGGAAGATTAATCAACTATTTGCATTTCCGAGTGCCTGCCTTTACATTGTATACTGTTATCTATTGCCTAACCAGTCCTCTTTCTACCTGCTTGTAATTCACACTTTGTTCATTTTATATAGAATCTGAATCAGGCTTAAGTGGATGGATTTTACCCAAGCCATTTGCGTTCACCCGAATAGTTGTCTACCCATATTTCAGTGATTGATCTATAATCTTACAGGCTCTTCAATGACACCATTGTACAAGTAGGGATAGTCAAAATATCATATATGGAATTAAATGTAGAACATATATTTCAGTAGGAATCAAACGTGACACTAAACACTAATCGAGTTAAGGTGTCTGTGATATGAATGAAATGTTACGGTATTAACAATATACCCAACTTAATCAAAGCTTTGAACGCATATGACTTTATGTTTATAGTAGCCTTATTTCATGTGGTCCTGGACGTTAAAACTAACCACTGAAGAATGTATGATTTTCTCTACTTATTCATCGGCAAAATGGTCATACGTCTGTTTTTCATCTTAATCAGGACATAGTTTGTGATCTGGTTGCTCATGTTTTGAAGATTATGGAAAGTAATAAATTCTGAAAATCCTTATATTTGGCTTTTAATTTTGCATTGACTGACAAAGTCGGATTATAAGTGTTTGCAATGCTAAGTGGTATAACGTAATACTGAGTGTTAAATATTTGAAATTCAATCACTTAATAGTGTCTAACACCAGTCATTACACAACGTAGACGCAAAATGTTTTTACTTTTATTGAAACTTTAATGAAGGAGTGTAGATTTCTTGTCTTTAATAGCCTACTTTCTGAGTGGTATTGTGAGCTGAGTTGCGGAAATTTAACTCCAAGTACTTAATCGTTAGATCACAAGTTGCCATAGGGTAAAGAAAAGTTATCAATCATAAATAAATAATGTTACCATTATAAAAACTACTTTTATTCACATTCATTTCATTATTGAGTGGGTTATACACACGCGATCGAAAAAACCCAATTTAAGATCATGAAGGATTGCTGTCTAATAGCTTGTCTGTATACCAAAATTTAGGCATTTTCCTGAAGGCTTCAGTACACAAAATTCATATCATGTGATATCTGACTACTATCCAAGCAATAAATGACTATTGATGTTATCTTGGTTATAGCATTTATTTTTCACAAAATGCTTTAGAAATCAGCTAGGATACTGCTTGTCTGTTTGAAAGAGGAAAAATACGATTAACTATTCTGGGTTGTTTAAATACAATACTATCAAAAATGAAATAACATGGTTAATTTCAGGTAGAAGATTAAAATCAAATTGATAATTACTTGAACAATATCATATTCATAGGTTTTGCGCTGTATTTATAGAATTGTTACTTCAGATGTATAAAATTTACAAAAGGATGTGATCGACACCGTTCTATGTGATATGTTTATTGTTTCTGTCAACCTTATGCAGGTTTTCCAGTTGTAAAAAGTTCTAAACATTATGAAGACGCTGAGAATGTTGATATTTTACCAGCAATCAAATCAGTCGTAAAATCTAGAGGAAAAACCGAACAACTCAAAAACTTTAATCCTAAGAGTTACTTAAAAAATGATGATGTAAGTTATATACTTTCTAAAACTTATTAAATATGTATATCGTTTTGGTGGCACTACACATTTTTGTAGTCCTATTAAATTAATTTTTAGGTTGTTGAATTATGTTTGATGTAAAATCTGGTAATATCAGAGGCAGTTTAGATCAATGAATACTTACTTTAATGTATAATATATATTTCATTATTTATAAACCATTAGATATTTTTATCATTATAGAAGTACCTTGATTTTTAGTACTATGATCTCCATTCGCTGTTCCGTATGTTTTTATTCAATACGGTCTTGAAATATTTGGAATAGGCTTAGTCACCAGTGATTTTTAATTTACTATAGTTGCCATGTCCTATGTGTTAAAGCAGCGTCTAGTTATTGCTACATGAAACTGTATTTATTCAAGTTGACCAACTTGGAGATTGTCACTTTAACTCATTTTTTCAGATGATGATAAAATTGTAGAGGTTCTTTACTATCATCTCATCACCATTTTCCATTTAATGTTAATACTTTCAGTAATATTTAAACAATTTCCACAACCTCATATTGATAATTATTATATGCTCACCAGTGACTAGCTTCGAGGGAAAATCTCAAAGTTCTAATGAGAAGCCATGAGGAGTGAGCTCAACGGCATTGAGTATGAGGAAGGTACCCATCGAAGTTAGATATGTATACCATGGGACGCCAGGTTAGTTGTTTGGAAGTTAGGCGCTCCTGTCAAGACCGAAGGTCTTGGCTTCTATGCCTTGTGGGGGTGGCGTAAATGCGAAATGTTCGAGAGCCCCATTCAAGGATGGAATGTTTGTAGTTTGTTTCCTGGTTCCCAGAGGTATTTTTTAATCAGATCAGTTTGTGATCTCCATACCATTCACCAATCTTCACAACGCCTATACTCCGTTTATCTGTTTGAACTACTCAGTTATCATACCGCTCACTGCATCATTCACATAAATTCCACTTACTGAAGCTTTTAATATGATAAAGTAATAGAAAACTTCGATGTCGCATTTTCTGTTTGAAGATTTAGTTAGAAGCTCATTAAAGTCCATACATTTTCCCAATTGTGATTTTATTAATTATGATCCTAATAGCTGACCTATTAACATAACTTTGCTCTTACCTACAAAACATACCTTTAAATGATCGTTTCTTACTTAAAGCAATTCAGTTACTATCTCAAACTCCAGTCTGTCTATTTCAATCCGATTATTTAGACGGTATATCTGTAATTCCTACATGAACTTCAGGTTGAAGTGAAAGATACGACTTTTTATTCAATCATTGAGCTGCGTTATTTTCATTACAATATTATTACCAGTGTAAAACAATGTGAAGTTAAAACAAGAATTTATTTTACAGATAATATCAAGTATAAATTTAATACCTCCTACAAGACAACTAATTCCATTTGGGAAAAGAACAAAAGAAAATAGATCGTTATTCCAAGCTGAACCCGAATCAATTATTTTTAAGTCTTACCTAACAGGAAATATGTATGAGGTAATATTTTGTGTAACTATTAATTTATCAATTGTAATACAGGCTATTGTTAAAATACGCAATATTTCTGACAGTAGCCGACCAATTCGAATTCTTCCACCAAAAACAACATATTTTTCAATTAATGAGGGTAAGTATGTACTAAATGGAAATGAATTATTTTATTTTTTACTTAAAGTTTGACTGTTAGTCAATTTGTATGACATAGCTGTTGTTTCTCATACAAGCATTTTATGAAATGTAACGGTGTTTTCATAGCAGGAAATAATTTCCGTTTAGACATCACTGATGACTATACAGTATTGGACTTGGCATTCACAGTCATTTATAATATCAAACTGAATCTGCCGAAAGGTGTACGGATATACTTTTACTTAAAAGAAGTGTTGATGGTATTTAAACAATCTATGGGCATTTTTAAGTTTCTTATAAAATATATTTTAACGAGTAATAATACATAGCATGTTTTGCCATGTTATTAGTTAACATAATCCAACACCTACTTACGTATACCTGCTACCCGACGCATTGTGTTCTTCGGTCTTCTTTTCCGTTCCCCTTCAGGATTCCAAGTTAGCACTTGCTTTATGGTAGGGTTTGATAATTTCCTCAACATATGTCCGATTCACATCTAACGTCTTTCCTCAATTTCCTCTAGAGCTGGAAGCTAATTTGTTCTCTCTCACAGTAGGCTGTTGCTAATGGTATCCAACCAACGGGCACTGAAGCAGAGGCTTCTGTTACACTGGTTGTCTTGGCCTGCATTTATTGATGTATATAGGATAGAAGGGCTAGGTCATCCGCGAAGTCCGAATCGTCTAGTTGTATGCAAGCTGTCCATTGTACTTATTAGCTCCCCTCATATGTGGATGTTTTCATAATCCAATCAGCCACCAGAAGAAAGAAAACGGGGAAGGCAAGCTACCTTGTCTAACTCCGATGCTCACTTGGAATTCATCTGTGAGCTGTCCTCCATGCACGACTTTACACTGTAGTCCATCGTACGAATTCCATATGATATTAACGATCTCACGCACACTATGGCGTTGAAGAATGTCCCATAATGTTCTCCTATCCACACTGCCAAATGCTTTTTCATTGTCAAGGTAGTTGATGTATAGTGATGAGTTCCATTCAATTGATTGTTCAACAATGATCCGTAGTGTGGCGATTTTGTCTGTACACAACCGATCTTTACGGATGCCTTCCTGTTAATCTAGGCGTCTACTGAATCTTTCATCTGGAACATAATCCATATAATTCCTAAAAACAGTTATATTTGTCAATTAGATTAAATTAAAATGAAGTCATTTTTAATGCTAAGCAGAATTAACCTAAATTCAGTCATTTTTTCAGTTACGATTTCCTGCCAAAATACTAAACAAATAGTCTTAAACATTTTAATTAAATTTTACCTGAACACTAGTTAAGTTTTTTGTGAGTAGTAAAGAAAGAAACAAATATGCAGAATAACCCATGTTCATACATGACTAGACATACTTATTGTTAACATTGTGAAAGTTAATCTATCAACATGATATTACATAATGAAAATCTTCGATAAAGATAAAAAAATCATTATCCGTTACTTAATTAATAAAAAGGATTAGTGGGGTAAAGGATATGAGTTTTGTTGACCAATCACTCTTTCAAGAGAAACATGCTATATAAAATTTGATTTAGCTTAATCATTTTCAGAGCCTAGAGCTATTCGTCTCCTGAAGTTTGATGAATTTACTATTTTTGTCAAAATGTCACTTAGTATGTGTAAGAATATAACATAGATGAGAATTGTAAATGTATTTTGCAAGTTGAATGTAATAATTTGTATTTTGATTGTAGATGATCAACAGTTAGCTATGGATCTAAGTATTCTGGTAGTTGGTACAGTCGGACATATCATAACTAAGTTATTCAGATAGTCATTGATTTTCTATACAACTCAGATATTTCGATTTGTTGATTGCTTAAAGATGACCACTACCTTATTGTCTAGTTTGCTATAACGTTTAAATAATCGTATTTGTTTGTTTTCGAAAAATCTACAGGTAAATTTCCACGACCAGGTAGTAGTATAATTGCACCGGGAATGGCAGCTGTATTTCTAGTACAATTTTGCCCAGATAATGTTGGTGATTTCGAAGATGAATTTATAGTTAAATATGAAAATCAACTAGAACCACTTTGTGTTAAACTGTTAGGACAAAAATCACGACCACAACTTAATAGTAAGTTTTCATGCTTTTATCATTACAAGCAATAACTTAATTTGTCTGTACTTTTCAAATACACTCATTGTCTTTTTTGAGATGTATGGGTGAATAACTAATATCACATACCGTAATTCTTTAGAATTGTCCGATTTTTTAAATAAATTTAAATGTTTATATATTAATGTAGTTGTGTCAATTATATGGTGGGCAACGTTGTTTTGCTTAGTAGTACGATTTTGTTGAAATTGTGTTCTCAAACCTACCTGCTTTAACCATATAGCTTTCATTGTATTTCTAGACAATATCATCAGCAAAACTAAAGAGAAAAGTGAGCTTTGTGAATTTTTCCTCGATTGACTAACAGCTAATTCAGTCGATCTTGAACAAGAATAATTGTTTCCAACACTTTCATTTTCATTATCTGAACGTTTACTTTGATTGTGTTTCCTCTGAATGTAACTCATGGCCTTACAGTTGATTATATTTTTTTCTGATTAGTTGACAAGTTGAGTTGGCCTGCGTCAACACCTGAACTAAGGATAGGGAGTGAAGTAGTTGAACGCGTCGATATCTTCACTTATCTTGGAAATTTGATCAGCCCTAATGGGTTGGTGTATGACGAAATCTTAGCACGGATTCGAAAAGCTCGTTTGGCCTTTGCCAACTTACGTCACTTATGGCGAAGGCAAGATATCCGTCTATCAATTAAGAAACCAGTATACTGCGCAGCAGTCCGTTCTGTTTAAATTTATGGCTGCGAAATATGGCCACTAAGAGAAGACATTCGTAAGCTACTAGTATTTGACCACAAATGCCTTAGGAATATTTCTGGCGTCTGCTGGGATCACCGGGTAAGTAATAAGGAAGTTAAACGCATGGTATTAGGGAATGACGATAGACCAGTTGATGAGGTTGTGAATCTTCATCGACTGAGATGGTTGGGTCATGTGTTACGTATGCTTGAACACCGATTACCACGACGCGCAATGCTAACCGGTGTTGGAGATGGTTGGAAGGAAGTTTGGCGCTGCCAAACCAAAACGTGGCATCAGTGCTTGAAGTCACTAACTTCTAATCTGGGCCATGTTAGTAGATGTTGACTACTTGGTTGGGGTCCGCGTGACTATCGTAACCAATGGTTGGAGACTCTTGGTGACATGGCTCAGAATCGATCACAATGGCGTCGGTGTATACACTCTCTGTCTTCCCTTAAACTAAGAGATTAAAATCACTTCATATTTTTTTCTACGAACTAATTATTTAATCCTGTACTATATCCTCATATGCAATCTTTCCTTTATATATTACCATCATCGAATTAACTACTTTTATGAATCTGGTGTTCATCTTGTTGTGTTAATGAGGTATGGCAACTTGGACCGATGCATATATGTGCCTGATCCCAAGTTGTAGCTGACTGACTGAACTTGAATGGTAAGGTTCAAGAAATTCTCTAGTACTCATTTAGCTGACTTATTCAAGATTTTCATTTTTTCACAATCGAACGTTTATCATCAGTCGTCTTTACATATTAATAACTAGTTGATATTCATACAAATGAAGATGAAAAAAGGCAACTACTTAGTCTGATTTGATGTTTTTCACAGTCGAAGCAATTTATTATGCATATGATATTTGGCTTTCATTCTTTTGTTATTTAATCTTACAATTTTCTTATTCTGAACTGATTAAATTGTGTTAACTAATAGATTAGTAAAAACAATTGATTGATCACTGGGTTTTGATCAGTGTCACGTATGTTAGGTCCTTCTTAGTGCAGATCGAATCCCATCGACTAAGCTTTAGTAAAAAGCCTAAACGATTCTACGTTTATTTCTAAATAAAATCAAAGTAATTAATGAATTTAAAAGTTGAAATTGAATTAGGCTGATTATAAATTAACATCATAATATCTAGTTTGATTAAAATAATCTTTAAAAATATCATTGAAATGTTTCTGTTCAAAGATAATCTAGTGATATCAAACATAAAGGTTTTAACTAGGGATATTAATTATAAGGTCAAGATTCCAATTTTTTAGTTAGAAGATGCTGTCAGATTTACTTCATGTAGATAAGGCTAAACCGTTTCTTACTTCTTGGTCGATCCTGACGATGAATATTGAGTGATCGTCAGTTAGAAGTTAGCAGTCCATTCAGTCGATATCTGAATAATGTATATTCTTTTCGATGCATATTACCAGCAACTACGATATTTCTGATTGGGCCTTATGTAACATATACAACGAAAGGTTGTATACTTCTCAGAAACGAACCTGAATTGGTTATGCAATTAATAGCCATATTGATGTATTGAAACAAACGAAATTAAACAACTTGTTTGAAATATCTAAATGGTAGGAGCAGGTAGCCCAGATGTTAAAGTAGGCCGCCAATATTGATTAAATAAATGAATTGAAAAAAAAGGATTTCGAAGGGAATCCGATTGTTTACACGACGAACCGACCTTAGTTAGATAAACATTTAAAGCCGGGAAGATAAATTTATTTCCAATATAAAGATCGAACATGTAACCCAATTCTAAATAAAGTGAATGCCTAAGATCATATCCATAAAGACAATCAAATCTTCGTAATTAAACTACGTAGTTTAGATTTTGGTGGAGTTTTGTTCTCTGAGCTGGATGGTTTGGTCGTGGAGCTTTCATCGTTCTTTTGAACGACATCATCAGCACAAACTTCAGATAGAAGTTTAGAGAACACAATGTCATCAAAAGCATTTGTGAATGTTTTTTTATATAAACGATTAGCGTTAGAAGCAATTTTAAGCCTATAAAATGTGTTTATATATATATATATATCCATGACCATAATGAGTAGCCACAGGTCACTAGACCTGTATGGCTTGTTCAACTATTATTATTAACCATTGATAAACTACTGAATTTTTCCAAATTTTTATCTTACAATGTTTCATCAATTAAAGTACTTGACTGTTACGATTTGGGTTATGCATTAAAGGGTGGTGCAAGAGTAAACACTATTCAACTAAAGAACTGTAATGCAGAGATTGCGTCTAACAGTAAATTCCTTTTTATTACACAAGAGGCATTTAGTGAATGTCAACAGTATGGTGCAAATAATTTCACAGTAAGTGAATTGTCTACATTTATTTTTAATGAAATAAATTTAACAAGTTAACTATTGTTAGCTAACATGCGCTTGTAAATGCTATTTCACACTGTAATGTATTGTACAGTTAGCTTTTTTGATATCGCTGATGTCAAGCTTATCACTTAATCAGGTTTTGTTATGAATTGAGATTTTGTGATTTGATCAACACATTTCCAGTTTCTGAAATAAGTAAACAGAATCCCTATTGATAAATGACATACAATGATGTAATATAGCTGATTGGAGGCTGTTCATGAGACCGAACTGTAGACTATTGGATAGGAGAATAGGTCTTTTTCTATTATAAAATGAAATGTTTACACACAAAATTCTAATAGAAACATGAATATGACTAAATGTTATGGGTTTTGAAGGATATCCAACTTGTGGATCACTCTCATTTCAAACAATTAAGACTTAGACGATCACATTAGATAGATGTTAATAACAAAAATGTACGAAATCTTACTTAAAATGTTTTTTTAAGATTGTTTATCAGTAAAAATAGCCAACTTTAAAAGTATTTTACATGAAGAATAAACGATGAGAGAACCATAAAATCCTTTTAGTTTTACCCTATTATGTCAAGCAACAAAGTCTTAACAATAAAACCCGAAAAGCATTAATCACTGTTTCAGACATGTAAACAGATTAGCACATTGAGATGAATTTTCGCACAGAAATGCAACTTTTAATTGCGTTTTGTTCAAAAGTAGTAAATCGTTTGTTTAATACAGTTAGTTAATTACTTACCGACTAAGTAGTATATCTTAATAGCATTCATAGTTATCCGAAAACAATCTTGACGGTTGGAAGACAACTTGATCTAACTGAAGTAGAAATGTTAAATACTGTAATTAATGAATTGTAACAAAACAGAAATAAGAGTTATCTATTGTTATGGTGCTTGTCAGGAAACCTGGGGGTCCTCAGTGCGATCATATATATATTACAAATATTTCAGTAGTAAGTTAATTAGGAACGCTTGTGCTTATCCAATTATCTTAAAACTTTTATGTTGATTGTTTGAAACTAATCATCTTATACATACTACTTATAAGTCTCGTAATATATTTGAAATTTTGGTACACATAGCTTTCACCGTTACTTTGAACACTTTCTATTTAATTTAAAGTGAATTATTTACACCAGCTGATAAAATATAATTGATGCGTTAGAAACCTCAATAACTGTTTAGATATCTTATTATATGACCATTATTATTCATACGGCAGCACATCGAAAGAAAATAATGAATCCATTTTTGTATTGTTTGTTTGGATCTTGCGATTGATGATTAGAACTATAACTGATTAGTCACTTATTATCATATATCGATGCGATCCGCACAGGATGCACATATGCCGATAAGAGACTGATCAATCGAAGTCCTATACACTAATGAGAAGATTCAAACAAACAATACAAAAATAAATTATAACCTAAGCTAAGTGGGTAACGCGATGACGTTTGAAACGAACAGTATTGAGTTAGAGTTTCGTAGTAAACATGAACTCTGGGATGCAGGTACATTCAGCTGATGATTCGCAGATAAGACGAAACGCGCGTCCTCGATTCCACCGCTAGCTACCAGCCATCTCTGCTTAGAAAATAACTATCAATTTCTGTTAAAACATACCCCAAAATTAATCGTAGTAGTGGTCTATATGTTGTAAGAAAACGTAGCTGAATGACTGGATTTGAATACATATTTAAACTTGACAATGTAAAAGCTGAAGCGTTTCAATAACCAACAATAACAACTTTGTAAATTTTATTTGGAGCATTTTATTAGTTAATAGCAAGAAAATGTTTTTCTGCAATATTTTGCTTTTTGATAGGAATTTTACTCATTGCATGTGAATTCCTCTTCAACTAGTTTATGCTTGGAATCATTTTCTCTCAAACCAGTCAATTTTGATTTGGAATCATTGCAATCGATCACAATAACAGTAGAGTTTAAACCATTGTGTGTAGCAGAATATAAATGGGAACTTGTATTGATTTCTGATAATGGTCAATTTTTCCCGGTGACATTCAAAGGTAGTTACTTATTATTTACTGCCATTTTAAGATTTTATGTTTTGAATGGCCAACTTGTAGAATTTGTTTCAGCTTGAATATAATTTTAAACGTAGAATGACGTTAGCTGCGTCAGTGGACGGCCACATCATCATCTCGAGACTAAATCCATTACTTCAAATCACGGAGTATGAGTCCTTTTAATCATATTTTCAACATTAGTTCATTTCTGTATAGTTAAAAACATAATACATTAATTGAAAGACCTGGTGGGATTTTTTTTAGCTGAATATGTCATAAATTCACACTATTCAGGAATATTAAACTAAGATAAAGAAAAATGATTTTATCTTACTCATTGATCTCAGTGAACATCGTAGTATAATAGGTAAAATCATATGAAATTTGTAACAGGACGTTTGAGAGAAGTAGTAATCACTTTACTATGTAGTCGTGAATATCTTATCTCTATATCATTTAATAAGTTGATATTGCAACAATCAATTTTACTTCATAAAATGATATTAAAAGCAGAACTATTGAACAGAAGTCAGCATTCAGTCACAATTGACGTAGAACCTGATATACGCTTACATCGATTCAAACTGGTAATCCCCTTTCGGTATAGATCAATGAAATTATCGAGATAAATACAAAATTTGAAGAAATAATGACAGTATATGTTGTGACAAGAAAAATCATGTACAGACAAAAAGTTTTTAAGAAAAAAAAGACGACTTCCTAATTCCAAGATCTTACGAGTGACAGAGAATGAATGCATTCAAGCCAATGCGACGATTTGGAGCCATGTTAAACAGTCTCTAAACATCGGTTACAATAATCCGGACGACATTAAAGTATACTGCCTCTACCAAAGTAACTTCTCTCCTGGATTTCATATAGTCTTTCACTAAATCAGCAAGCATCATGCGCTAAAGTAGGTTGTGGTTTGACACTGTCTGTACATATACTTCTCTTCAACACTCAAACAAATATATTTAACCGTTTCTATTAAACATTTAGTCGTTTTAAAAACAATCAATCTTTTTCTTCAGTTTTTCGATTCTATTATTCTTGAAATAATTTAGGTAGAGGGGAAGAACCTCAATTACAAATAATCGATATTACTGATCAGAATCAGTTATCTACTTCAAATAAATCGTCAACTACTTTTAGAAAAGTTGATACTATTTCAAATGATCAATTTTATTTCTATCAATTTCCAAAACATTATCCCCACACTATTTCACCAAAAACAATGACAATAAGAAATTGTTGGTAAGTAAAAAAATCTTTATGATGATTTAAAATGAATTTTCTATGCCTGACATTTTCTAACATCAGTATAGGGTTGTGGAAATTGCTAAGTTTTTGATTGAGATCATGAATCAGGCGATGTTAGACCATCATTGAAAACCTGGGAGTACTGAAAGGCCGTTTCGTCCCAGTATGAAACTCCTCTGCAGTGCGCATCTACGATCACGCACCCAGAACCTTCGATCTCGCGCGTGAACGCTTTTACACCCAATATAATTGATTCTGTCACTAATTCTGTTAATTTGCTATTTATTGTGAAATTCACGTCCAGTAATACTACTGGAATGAGTAACTTGAATAAGCTCACATATATGCCCGACCAACGAAACTGAGTGTATGTAGATAGTAATAGCAAACTGATGACATGCACAGAAATAGGACGAAACAAATGTGTTTCGTTATTTCCACTTAATTTTCAAATGATGTTGATTACTTGCATTAAACTATCTACTGTTGATAGTTACGTAAAGTTAGTCCTATTTGCTACTCATTACTTATTCAGCGGTTGATAGCAAAATTTGTAGGATCAATTCACTTTTCTCTATACGTTTAGAATGAAATACATAGCTAATATTGTTAAGCATATATAAAAATTAGTTAATTGACAGTGGTTCCTAATGACTGTTGGCTAATATATCAACTCGTTTAGTAAAATAAAATATTCAAAATTACATTTCAATTGTTCAAACTTAACTAATTACCTTAATAAACAATTTATCATTTCAATTCACTTGGTGTTGTTTTACTTGAATCTCCCATTGTTATTTAGGACCGCGATTGATCGGTCTCATGTTGGCATATTTGCATCCTGTGCGGGTCGCCTCGATATAGCCCCACTTACAGTCCCAAATAGCAATGGGAGGATACAAGTACAACAACACCAAGTGAATTTAAACTTCACCCCATTGCACAAGCAGGTGGCTATCAGGACTCAATAGACAAGTGGATAACGCGATGGCGTTTGAAGCGAGCGGTACTAGGTTCGAGTCTCGGAGTGGGCATTAACTCTGAGATGCAGGTACATCCAGCTGACGAGTCCCAAATAGGACGAAGTGCGCCTCCTGGATTCCATTGCTAGCCACTATCCAATTTATCATCTTATTACTTGCGAATTAATTGCAAGTATCAATCAATGTCTGCGATACTTTTCGATATTATATCTTATTCTGTTCAAATCTCAGCCGACCTTCTATAGGACTAGAGTATTTACATAAGTTTTTCTTAAGTTTAATAATACATTCATTAATTTTTATTATCTGTAAGTGATTTAATAGCTGAAATTTGTATATTTTATGCAAACAATCCTAAAAAAGATGAACAGCGTCGATATTAGGGCTTGCATGCTACTGCTTATTAAGTTATAGTAAGAAATGTTTAGCGGAAAATCTAAACATTTAGGTTGAATGTTGGGATTTGAATAAAGAATTAATCATGAAATTCACCTATGCAACAGTGATCATTTATCGTGTATCTTTAATAGCAAATTTTTTTAGTCAGTTCTATTTTTATTACGTTTTTCATCCATAATATGCGTAAGGTATTGGAGAGTGGTCAAATATGGCTTTACATACAAAAGAATTTGTTTATACAAGTCATAGACAAATAAGAAAATATAGCTCACCTATACACTGCTATAGATAGGTTGTCAACCTTCTGAAAATATCAGCTGTTAAATGGTTTATTTAATTAAGGGATCTAGCTGTTTGTAATAAGTCAAAATAAGAAAATATTATTTTATTATTTGCATAATTAAAAGACAGATGATCTAAAAATTTTGGTATGATATAACTGTTCATAAAAACTTACTTTAATGTTAAGACCATTTACGTTTTGATTACTTAAAAAAGCTTTTAGAAATTTTCTATTAGGTTATTTTACCAACGATTCGGAGGAACATTTAGGAATTATGATGGTCTAAGTTATGTTTTTTGAGAACTTTTAATCATAACTAGTTAGTATTCTAACTCTAACACATCCACTGTGTTCTATCTTTCAACTCTATATATACTATTGGCATAATCTCATGAATTGATGATAGGTGTAGGTTGTCATTCTAAAAAGAAAAGTTGATAGACTTTTTAAAAAACTGCGTTGATTAGGACCAACGTAGCGTATCCCTAATCACCCCCTACTCTTATATTTAATATTGTCTAGTGTAAGAGTAAAGTTGATCTAAGTTATCACTATAGAATACTTTACTTTTTTATTTTAAACGACAACAAAACCCTTGTCTATTATTCCATGATTTCTTGTGTTCACTTGATTTGACTGCAGTTGTAAAACTCACATTCAAATAACTAAATTTTCAAAACTGTTGAATAAAAATATATTTAACAAGTTCCAGTCATCGACTGACACATACTGTATGTAACTATTTAGAACCGAAGGGTCATTAAGAGATATTATTCTATTAATCATGGATTGCTCTTTCTTTGGATTGTTCATTTTATTTATTAAAGTCATCTCAATGAAAGTTTATGAACACGTTAAATTAATATGTTTCATCATTTTAAAATTCTTTTATTCTTAACTATTTTTTATAGCTCAGAACCTTTACGTTTTCAATGGATTCAGGAAGATGAATTCAGTGGAACAAATCTTCCAGAGTATACTTCAGATAGTTTAATTAAAAGTGATGATGTATTGAATCAACGTAAATCTTTATCAACAACAAGTGTAATATCTTCATCAGATAATCAAACCGATAATGATGTACCATTATTATTTACTATTAATCCAACAACTGGTGTATTTGAAATGAATGAAATGAAACATTTTCAAATTTGTTTTAATCCAACTCAAGTAAGGAAGTATAAAATCATATAATAATAATTTAGTATTTACTTATTTGATATACAGAGAAAAGTATTTGTTGGTAATGAACTTTATCATCATCATCATCATCTGTATGGTTCAACCATGTTTAGAGTAAAACAAATACCACCCGATGTCATTTGATGTTGGTTGAACTATATCGGGAAGTTAACTAAAGTTAGAAATAGGCAATAATTAACTTCGTTTGTGTACCTTAATAGTGTAGAGCTTATAACAAGGCCTCAGATTAATAGTGCTGATGAGTCTAAAACTGGGGTAGAATCCTTTTTAGCATACTTGATATTTTTTAGCGGTAGGCTTCAGAAGTCATGTTTTATCCTATTTAGGACTTGAAGCTGAACTTACTTAAATTAAATTGTCGGTGTTCACAATGAGACTCAGTTCCAGTATGTTACTCTTTAAACACTTATGATATTTCACCTGAGTTACTTTATTTAAAACTTTAAACTAAATAACAGCAATAGAACCGTTTGTACATGAATCACATGTGCCAGTAGAGATTGATTAATCTAAGTTTTTGACATTAACAACTAGGAAATACTAATCCTTACAAATGAAATCCATACTCGTAGTACAAGTCAATGGTTATCTCGAATAAGTCTTATTAAATATGTTGACTGGTTTAATACATAACGTTAGCCTAAAGTTAACCGTATTTTATAATCACTTTTACTAGAAATACTTAAATCTCTTTCAGAAATATGAATAGTTCACTTCATGGATTTATTTATTTTCTGAAATATATTTATGTCAATTGATGAGTTGTTTTTTGATTTTATTAGTAAATCACTTGTCGTAGCACTTTAAACATAATAAGTAATTGTTGTTTTCTGAACATTCCTATTACCATTATTGAAAAAATGCTATTCTCAGGTTATTATCCTTACTAAGCATTTGCAACTACACTGGTTAACAAATACCATTCGTAGATATATATTCTTTTACGTATACATATGAATAATCCATTTTGATTGTTCTACAGGTTGGAACATTTAGAACACAATTGGCAATAGTATTGCTTGGTATACCAGAAGTAGATGAACAAGGAAATTGTTATAAATTAGACAAAAAACACTTAACAATTGAATTAGAAGGGACAGCAGAACCACTTTCAATATCAATTGAACCACCAATTTTGATTATTCCTGGAAAGTGCTTGCTTGATGTTCCTGTATACCGTACTGTGCAGGTAAGCTTTAAGAATGGACATGAATTCTTTGTATTATGTGAGAATAGGATTTTATACGTACAGTGTAATTATTCAATAACAAATGTAATATTTTATTTGACCTAACATTTACGATGTGTATCAAGTCTTATTGTTGATATTAACATTGAAAAATGTGAAAGAAATATCTTTGATTAATCATATGCTTATTGCTTTGGTATTCGACACCTGCAAACTGCTACTGAATTTCTGTAAAGGTTTTTCACAAAAGATATTTCACCTTTGAAGGTCGATAAAAATGGCCACTCCACATCATTACAGCGAGATGAACTCATCAAGACAAACACCAGAGTATTATAAGTAGTAAAAACATCATTGATAGTTGTAGTCATGAAGCATAGACAATATAATTATAGAGGAAAAAAATAGTTTATAAGATAAAATGGATGAGATGACGTTGAAACTTAAAACCCAGAGAAAGGAGAAGTATAGGTGTATCGACGCCAATGTGATGGATTTCGAGCTAGGTTAATAAATATTAACCATCGATTAAGATAATCACATGAACGCAAACCATATAGTATACAACTACTGATGACATGGTTCTCTTCAATAGTCAGTGATTTCATGAACTGAGACCTTATCTTAGTTTTTTCACCGAATGACTTTCATCTATTCAACTTCTGCCCTATCAGACATCAGTAGTTGAGGTACGTGCGGGTTGAGCTCACATGTTTTATGTCCAAACCACCTTAATCGATGAAGATGTACTTCCACATTAACTGACTTGCCATCTGTAACTAGTACCCTCCTTATCTCAGTGTTTAACACCTAATAAACCCAACACATTCTAGCATTACCTTATAGGTATATGTAACCGAATTTCAGTGGCCTGCTAATATCCTCTATTTCCAAAAGCCACGTTTTATAGCCTTAAAGTAAAACAGAAAAAATTACTGCATAACGTGCTAGATTTGTCGTTAGTAGAAGTCAGATGAGCTTTCTAAATCTATTTCAAGATTTCTTAAGGAACAGTTGAGATGCATATTTTGTTTTCATACATATTTGTAAAGTCGATAATTATTCCTGGAATCCAAAAAGAAGCCTTTCAGGATTTCATGATATAACACAATGTGAATATGAGTATGAATATTTCAATGAAATTATAAATGATTTCTTAATTATTGGCTATAGTCTATCTAAATAACTTTTAGTATATAATTAGTTTGATCCGTTAACCAATTCTCTAACAATCAATTTATAGTAAATTTTGATTCAACTTTTTCGTTAATAATCACTTTATATTATTATATTAAAGTTAGTGAATAAATCCTCCAATTGTTCTGTAACATATTCATGGCAACATAATTTTAACATTGAAAGAAATTCTATCAATTTAAGTGATTGTACTCAATCTACAACAGAAGTTCTTCAATCAAGTAGACAACAAAGTTCAAAAACGTTTAGTGAAATAGAAAAATCAAATAATGCTTTAATTGTTTTAGAACCAACTATAGGTTCAATTGATCCTGGACAATCAATTAATATTGATATCATGGTATCATCTTCAAAATCTATTACAATTAAAGAAAATATTCCATGTTTTATTAATATATTACCTAATAGTCCACTTTGGTTATATATTGAAGTTGAATTTTCGGTAAGTAACCTACTTTTCTTTAAATAAAGTAATAAAGGATCATTTTAAATTAATACGTGTTGTTACAATTCTCTCTTATTACAACCCAGCTATTCTTAATGATTAGTATTCTCGGACACCAATTCACCCAACAAGTCCCCAAATCAGAACACGGTTGAACAGGAAAGAGATTATATTCCAAATAACAAGGTTAGATGGAAGTAAGAAGTACAATAGGAAAAACGTTAGTTTGTTTATAGTTTTTACATGAGAAGATTCTAGTGTTCTTCAAGTATCGACTAGCGTTGATTGAATAACAATTAGACAATCAGCGTGCACCAAAGTAGTCATGCATTGAACATGCTTTAATCCAATCTATATCTTGCTAACACGTGTTTAATTCTAAAATCAATGTAGTTTTAAGTATAAATTATTTAAAGTTTGAGAACAATTGTAACAAAGGGAGAACAAGATAACTTTCTCTCTTGTTTGCTGTGCCTAAACAGAGTACACATATAACTCTACAATTAACTAAGCATAAGAACCTAAGGTCTAATGGCTGAGTCAACTTTATAATGCTGACCTGGAATTCAATGGTTTAGATTACGGAATTCTGCCAGTTTATGTGATTGTAAACTGATTAAACTTAATGAAACATTTTAAACATATGATTTATACGTGATCTTTATTATTTATGGTGCCATGGTTATGTTTTGTGAATGTAACCTTCGTTCTCTTTTCATTCTCTTTACTATTTTTCAACGTTGGACCCAGGTTTATAATATGGCAATATGATACAAAAGTTAATTTTTTTATTGCTGGTAGCATTTAATTCATGATGATTTATGGCGGGGTTCTAGTGATCAAGCGACTCATTGACGTACAATATTACCAGATACAACTCAGAATAGAAACCAATAATAATCTTGTTATAGTGTATTTTCACACTCTTAATAATAGTAGAATGAACTTTCATGCATGTTGATTGTTTTCTGAACTGAATTGTATCATTTCATAGACAATATTCTTGTTCATTGATTCAATTACATTTTTCCTTTTTTTTATCTTCCTTGTGTAGGGCGTTCTGTTTAGTACCCTCTTGTATAAAGCATTTTATAACAAACTCTTTAAAACTGTTCATTTAAAAAATGTATTGCATTAATTCTATTTTTTAATAAAAGCAAGAAACATAGTTAGGAAGTGCTCTATTGTTACTCGGAATGTCTAGTGTTTTTCTGTAAACGTATTTTTTAAAGGACGATATAATAGTTATTGCATTTATTTCATCCAAGATTTTCACCTATTTTATTGCCTTCATAACACTTTTTCAAAAGTCATGGAGTTATAAGATGACTGGTGGCTAGCACAGGAATCTAGGACGCGAGTTTCGTCCTATTAGGAACTCGTTAGCTGAATGTACCTGCATCGCAGAGTTGTTGTTCACTTTGAGATTCGACTTAAGGTAATATTAAGGGCGCATATTTGCCAATAAGAAACTGATTTATTAGAAAAGAAAAACAAGCAGAAAAGTGATAAATTAATAAAACTATAAGTAGACTTAACTAGTAATGGGATGAAGTTTGTGAGTTATGTGTTATAATCAATTCGTTATGGCCCAGGAAATGACCTTAAATGCACCGTTCATTCATCAACAGGATGTTCACTCTAAAGGAATCAAAAGTTCCAGCCTAATGACTATCACCCTTGTAATAAGTATGAAAACTTTACTACCTCAACAATTTTTGAATTAGAATACTCCAGACAACCTAATATCACATATCTGTTCGCTACATTTAATACTACAATCTATATGAGGCTGATCACGCTTGTGTACTGGCATGAATTCTGTGATTAATGTTTTCAGTATATATATGGTTTCATCTTGATCATATTAGTCACTTTTATAATACCGAATTTGTTTACAAATATTTCTCATTATTTATTTTAGGGCCCTACCATTATTTTTGATAGAACAGACTGTAACTTTGGTCTTATGCGTCCGAATGAAACAGCTGAAATGGATATACTACTAACGAACACTACCCCCTCTCCAAGAAAATGGTTTGTGAAAATGGAAACATTTATTGACAAGGTAAGGATTTAGTAAAATGATAGCTTGTCATTTATTTTGAGCTTAACAAAACATGTTGAAATGTGGTTAAATGGTTGATAGAATGACACTTTATCAAACAACAGCTTGTTTCTACTTGTGATAAAGCATATTAGAAGTTGATAAGATATAGTTTTATTTGTTTAATATGACTTAAAAGAACAAAAGTTAGTGTTAGTAATATAGACAACTCTTCTATGGATGATGTAAACCAATTGTTTTAGTAATCAAATGTAACCAAACGCTATAATACACCACTCCATATATAGTCGAGTTTATATGGTTGACTGGATGTAATTTTAAGATTTCATGCATTATATGTTGACCTAATATACTTCTTACAATAAGATAAAAGCTAAACGCTATGCAATTCAATAAATGTCTAGGCACTGTTAAGAAAGTCAAAATTGTAGTGGGACGAAACGTGATCATAACCAGGTACTTTATTTCGGAAAAATTACGATCTAACAAACATTTCAGAAATTAGTTTTAAGTTTTACTTAAAACATCATGTACCATATGGTTTGGTGTACATTTCATTTTTATACAAGACTGAATTAGTCCGTATTAAAGATATACTGCTAACATATAAATGGTAAATATGACCGTCTAACTGAACAATATAACTGTTTCGTAAATCTCAAGTTCGAATTTTATGTAATTACACATTTTTATAAACGATTCACTAGTTCTTACTCACACTGCATGAAATTTATGATCTTGAGTAGTTGTTATTTGACTGACTATTATCAATTAACAATTTGTTGCTACGTTCATAAAATGAAATTATTAGAACTACTCAATACGAGTAACATTAGTAAATAATCAATTGAGTAAGTTTTATTCATTGTATGTATGTGTGTTTCATTAATTGGACTGTGAGTTTCATAGATTTAAATGAAACAATGATTTTGATTTACTTTAAAAAATATAAAAGAAACATTATCAAATTACTTACATTTTTATTGAAATCATGAGTCAATTGAAGCTAGACCACCATGGAAAACCTGGAAGCACTATTATTTCTTTCACCCTATCTGACCCATATTTAATCTAATCATGAGTCTTATAATTTCATTTGACGTATAAGCTGATACAAGTTATCATTGTATATTAGTCATCTCAACACTAACAATTTTATATTGTTTAAAGTTGAATTCATGTGTCGATTTAAAATAGACCACCATTGAAAACGTGGAAGCACTGGACGTACTTTCTATTCTAATAGGGAACTCATCAGCAGTACGCATCCACGATCTCGCACGCGGGATGAAACGGTCGTCCGGTACTTCCAGGTTTTCATTGGTGACCTAGCTTAGATCGACTCATGATGTCAATCAGTGAAATTTCTAAAATCTTCACAAACCCCTTCTGACTTTCAAATTGTCATTAAAATGTACACTAGAAGCTTAATGAGTTTCGTTTTGGTCAAAGTGATGAATATATTTTCACTCTTTGAAAATCTCCATTATATTATAAGACTAATATATGAACAAAGAATATTCAATAAAGCCTCTTCAGGTTTTACGATTATCTATCCAAATTATTAATTCAAATTATGTCCAGGTTTAGGGGAAAGTGCACCGTTTAAAGTTATAGCATTAAATTTGAGATTGTTAAATAAAATGAAGTTATCAGAATGGGGATTTGTGCAGACTGAAGTATGCTTAAAGTTGAATTCATGAGTCGATCTAAGCTAGATCACCAACGAAAACCTGGAAGTACAGGACGACCGTTTCATACCGCGTGCGAGATCGTGGATGTACACTACTGATGAGTTCCCTATTAGAATAGAAAGTCCGTCCAGTGTTTCCACGTTTTCAATGGTGGTATATTTTAAATCGACACATGAATTCGACTTTAAACAATATAAAATTGTTAGTGTTGAGATGACTAATATACAATGATAACTTGTATCAGCTTATACGTCAAATGAAATTATAAGATTCATGATTAGATTAAATATGGGTCAGATAGGGTGAAAGAAATAATAGTGCAATTACAAATTCGATTTAATGATTTGTAAAATACTATATTGTATAAAAAAGATTAATTAAAATTAGTGGGAAATTATAAAGTGGAATGAATGCTAAGTAAACGAATGATGTATTCGGGTGATTAATAATGATATTAAACCAATAATAATAACGATAATAATAATAATAATGTATGAATAAAGATAACAAAAACAATTATATTTGACTGTGAAAGGTTGGAAGTACAATAGTCATTCAATAGCTAAGATTACTATTGATTAATTGACCCTGATGTTGGCCAGAGCAGGAGAAGCTGTCATAGATATTTCTTTTTTACTCATAACTCCTGTTTCGTAATTCGAATGGCTACTAGTTACGCTGTTTGAAGGACTTTGAATCTGACAAACTTTGATAAAATATTACTGACCCGATAAATAATTGGAAAAGATTGGCTTATACTAGCACTATGACCAGTTTGCACTAAATGGAGTACTTCCAAGCTGTTCACGTCATTTACTAGAACTTTGCTTATCCAAGCTGGGAAGTGTTCACGAACACGAAAGTGCAAATTCCTAGAACTTTGAACAATATAACTTACCCGACAACAACTGTCGAATTGATAAACACAAAACTAGGTAGTCGCTCTTGCTAATTCGCCTTTTAACCTCGTTGTCACCGTTGAGCTCGTAGAAAACAATAGTCATAGTTCTTCGACGTTGAACGATTTTCTGATCGTTCTACGTAATCGATGGATTAATATTTTGTTAGCTTCATCCCCTCTGAATTGCAGGCCCATGATCTGGGATTTCTTGTTCACTGTTCGTATTTCGTTTGTTCTAACCTTAGTGATCATATATTTAATTATAAACTTTCTAGGGTAACTGTTCTCCCTACGAATATTACGCAAGGTGTTTAGCTCACCTTCAACTATAACCGTAGAACATATAATGCATATTCGGTAACTAAGAGTTTTGATCCGGTTTCACTTGTACCGTAGAGGTACAATACTTTGGAAAAGTGTATATTGCCCAGTCCATGTATTATTTCTGTTTAAATTTGTTTTTTTCGATTCATCAGATATCTTGGTTAAGAGAATATATTTTCATAAAAAAATCTTTTAAATATTGAAATATTATTACAGTTTGGATCTGACTTACAAGCACACCCATCTTGTGGAGTCATAAAACCCTTCCAATCAGTAAAAATGAATTTGATTTTTACACCACAAGTAACAAGAAGTGTTCGTGATATTATTACTGTACATACTGAAGATTCTGAAGAAATAAGGTAGTCATTATTTTCAGTAATATTTTACTACTTTTAACAAATTGGGGCTTCAATAATATCTATAATGACGTATATCAAGGTCTGTAGATGGGTAGATTCCCATTATGAGATGTTCAGAAACGTAAAAGCGAACTTACCTAATCGTAAGCCACTGTAACTAGCTACAGGAATGTTCACAAGTCGACAAATACACGCATTGATGTTCCAGTCGAACAACATCGTTTTTATTCAATAGATCTACAATCCGTTTCTTACTGGATGAATAGCTTAACTTGATTGTATTAAGTTGTCTTATTTAGACATCATGTTTCAACCTCACTAGATGTAGTCACCTTTAAACTGGTATTTCAAAAAATAACAGTTTGTTTGAAACTGTCAGATGGATAGTGACTAGCAGTAAAATCCCGGATGCGCCTTTCGTCCTGTCTGGGACTCGTTAGCTGGATGTACCTGCATCTCAGAGTTGGCGTTCATTCAAACGTCATCATGTTATTCACTGTACTGGGTTCGAATTCCGGAGCGAACATCAACTCAAAGTTTCAAGTTCATCCAGCTGACGAGTCTTAAATAGAACTAAACGCGCGCCCTAGATTCCACTGCTAACCACTATCCATCTTTGTTTAAAAAGCTTGTGACTTAAGGCTACATCGAGGCAATCCGCACAGAATGCACATATGCCAACATGAAACTGATCAATTGCAGTTCTAAATAACAATCGGAAGATACAAGTAAAAGAATATCTAGTGAATTCGTCAGCTCTTTAATTTTTATTTATATGCATTATGTATTTATCATTGATCTGACAATATTTTAAAACTATTTTTATCAACATCTCTTGTTCAGTTTAAGCACATATAGCTACAACTATCACAAGCTCATGTTATTTTATTGAATTTATTGTTTTATTTTCTTTTCCCATTCTGAATAATTGATCTAGCTAATGTTAAATGCAAGTAAATATTGAATTTTATTCAGGAATAGTGTGGAAATCTTCCATCTGTTCGTCAAAAAAACTCATAAGAAACAGGTTTCTTCACATAGTTATTCAATTGTATTATTGTATACTGGCAATTCAACCGAAAATCGTATCTAAATAAAGTCACCTGACACCGAATCTCCGTACTATATAGTTTGTTGCTTATAGATGTATCATTGACTATGAGTTGGAATTTTAGATAGTAAAATCTCTTTTAAAATGGTTTATCAAAAATAACATTGAATGTGTTACATATTTTTATCAGTTGAAGTTGATAAAAGTCACATTAGCAAGAAAACAGTGAAACTGGACCAAATAAAATGTAGATGAATAAGCTATATTAACATAAATCGAAGTGAAATTCTAAATGTAAACAATATAGTTAATAAAGAACAAATAACTCAATGGAACTGATAAGACAGAGTAATATAATGCTATCGATCCATAAGATGGGAAACAGTGAATAAATCTGTTTGGATGTGACCATCTTTAAGTCGTACCACACGTAAGCGAATATCATAAATAATTAATAGAATATCTTGCTTTAGTTACCTTCATCCTTTTACAATCTACTCAGCACAGATCGTAATAGTAGTTGATAGCTGGTCTTGTGTTACATTCACCTTGCTCGATAAAGGCTTCCAACCTCTTTGATTATCTACTTATTGTCAAACTTTGCGTGGAAATGACTTCATGATTTCGGAAGAACATTGGTTTTCACAGAACCAGTGCATTAGGAATAGGCAAGTATACAAAATGCACATTTCATTTAGTTCAAAGGCGACTTGATTGACAGAATTTTATTATCATTAGGGATGAACAAACTGACAGTGATCAATACTTAATGACTGGTCGTTTTTAACTATTTCAATTCTACATGAGAAAAATCGCAGTCCAAATAGTTCAGTGTTATTGTCTCAGAATATGAGGATAGATGACTTCATTTCAAATCCCACCGGGGGAATCATTTCGCTCGAGACTATAAGTATGCAATGCTGACGAGTTCAGTATTTCCTACCGGATACGTACAACACATCCAACAAAGCAGTAATAAGTTCACGATAATCTGTGAATGAATGGTTATACTTACAGTTCTATGTATAAAAAATATAGAAATATGTTTGTTAAACGATTCACTTTTTTTATTTAGCAAACTTTTAATCATAGCAGAAGTTCAAACTCCACTGATTGATTTCCATCCACTTCATATTGATTTTAATCAATGTTTTTGGAATGTTCCTGTCACTGAAACAGTAACAATCACGAATTTAAATATGTTGGATTGTGATTTAGAATGGATTGAAGTAAGTAGTCTGCATTGGAAATAATATCTGTGTGTAAAATAATTAAATTTTATTTGTGAAATGCATATTTTTAATGATGATGATCATAGTTCCTGAATTAAATGCTATATATTGGGTTACAGTAAGAGGAGTCTCTGGATAAAATATGAAACATGACAACAAAGTTATGTTCAGTAAGATTTAGTGACCCTCCATTTGACTCCAGTTAGATCGTATGATTATGTTATTGAAATATACATCCAAGCTAACGTTATATATAATTATCGACTTAAATTGCGTTAGTGAATAACGGAATTAAATAAGTCAAATATGAGAATGAATTTTGGATACGTATATTTCGTACACTTATTGATCTGAAGAGACAATCAAGAAACCAAGTACAGAAAGTGAAGAAAGTGAACTAGAGAAAGCAAAACGAAACATAATGACGCGCAGTGAAAGAGGCGAGTAAGTCAGCTCGGTTTAATCAGGTGTGACTCAATATTGATATTCAAAGAAAAATAAATTACAAACACGTTATGAATAGGGCAAGAAATTAACATACACATACATATAAAAACCGTCAGGGTTAATAAGCGAATAAGTAAAAAGGTCAAAATGTGACTTGAGAAGAATGAATAAACTAGTCTGTTCAGAAGCTAGCATAGACTATGTGAGCTTGACATAATACCAGCTACTACAAAACATTTTCTCTGTAGAGATGCAAATTTATGAGGAAAAACTAGAAGATAGTAGTCAAGAAAATGGATATTCACAGCTAGATTTAATGACAATATTTAAAGTCCTACAAAACACAGAAGTCTTATCTCCAGATTTCAGATAAGAAAACCATAGAACAATGATAAAGGGTAGGTCGAAAAACTGAAAAAAAACCTATAAATCACCATCACTATCGTGATGTTTGGTAATGGTAGAGCAGGCAACATGAAAAAATATTTTGTCTGCACAATGTTCATCTGTATACTGAGTAACTTAACAATACGTTAGTAAATTATGAAAATCGCATCTTGAGGATGGAGCATTTACTCGAATCACAATTGATTGATCACTGGGTGGTGATCAATGTCATGCTTGCCTAGTCCTTATTAGTGCAGATCGAATGCTATCGATCAATTGTGATTACATCTCAGTCCTACAGGAGGTCAGTCACGGCTCGGATAGCTCAGTGGTAACGTCTCTGACTGTGAAGCTGAGTGACACGAGATCGAATCCGCTAGGGAGCACCAGTTCCCTCAAGATTACAGGTACACTTTGCTGACGAGTGCCAAGTAGCACGAAACCCGGGTCCAGGGTTTCCTGTTGGCTACCTCCAACTACCATCTAATTTACTCGAATGAAATGTCTGTCTGGGTTAATTTAATTACATTGTATATACTCACGTTTTTGTGCATTGGTTTTACTTAACAATTTCGAAATACACTTTTCGATTTTATCATTCTTATTCTGTTGATAATACTGTATCAAGACTGTGTCAGGAATATTCTATTTATCATAATTCTTTTTATATTTAATTTACTTTTAACAGCCTATTGGAAATGATAAAGAATGGGTTACAATTAATGTGATCCCCAAAACTTATCGAATCATAGGTCAACAAAGTCAATTATTTGAAATTTCGATATGTGCTCATAAACAGGTGATTTGAAATAATGAACACTTTATAACAAATTGATAAATGTGTTGTTAATCATTTTGTTTTATTGTGTTATTTTGTGAAGTTTTGACTAGTTACATATTATTGTATTCATATGAAAATCGGGAAAACAGAAAGGAGAAAAGAACGAAAATGGTGAGAGATTTGCAAATCTATGTGCCTTCAATAAACTGGTCATAGGTGGCACTATATTCTCACATAAACGCAATCACAAAACCACATAAACTTCACCGGATCACACTACACAGAACCAAATCGACCATATCTGCATCAACAAAAAGTTCAGGAGGACGATGGAGGATGTGACAACCAAGAGAAGAGCTAATATAGCATCAGATCATCACTTGCTGATCGCCAAGAGGAAATTGAAACTCAAGAAGCACTGGACGACGGGGCGGACAATATCACAAAAGTTCAATACGGCTTTTCTTCGGGATACTGACAAACTCAACAAATTCAAGATAGCCCTCAACAATAAGTTTCAGGCCTTTCATAATCTACTAAGTGGAGAAGGAACTACTATGGAGAGCAACTGGAAGGGGATAAAAGAAGCAATAACTTTAACATGTCATGAGGTCCTGGGTCACAAGAAGCACCATCACAAGGAATGGATCACTGTTGATACAGTGGATAAGATTCAAGAAAGAAGGAACACGAAAGCAGCAATCAATACCAGCCGAACAAGAGCAGAAAAAGCCAAGGCACAAGCTGAATACACAGAAGTAAACAAACAAGTGAAGAGGAGCATCAGAACCGACAAACGTAAATATGTGGAAGATTTAGCAATGACGGCGGAAAAGACTGCAAGAGAAGGAAACATGAATGAACTGTATGACACGGTAAAGAAACTCTCTGGAAATCACCGTAAACCAGAACGACCAGTGAAAAGCAAGGTAATCACCAACATTGAAGAGCAACAAAACAGGTGGGTAGAACACTTCAAAGAACTGTTGAGTCGACCAGCTCCACTGAACCCACCCAACATCGAAGCAGCACCCACGGACCTCCCAACTAATGTTGGCCCACCAACAATTGAAGAGATCAGATAGCCATCAGAAAAATCAAGAGTGGCGAAGCAGTAGGACCAGACAACACTCCAGCAGAGGCAATGAAAGCAGACATAGCAGTAACTGCAAAGATACTACACATTCTCTTCAATAAGATTTGAGATTAATAACAAGTATCAACCGACTGGAAAGAAGGACTTCTGATCAAAATACCGAAGAAAGGCAATCACAGCAAGTGTGATAACTACAGGGGCATCACTCTTCCCTCAATACCGGGAATAGTCTTCAACAGGGTATTGTTAAACAGGATGATGGACTGCGTAGACGCCCAACTTCGTGACCAACAGGCAGGATTCCGTAAGGATAGATCGTGTACAGACCAAGTCACAACACCACAGATCATTGTGAAACAATCAACTGAACGAAATTCACCACTCTATATCAACTTCATTGACTACAAGAAAGCGATTGATAGAGTGGACGGGACAACCCTATGGAGCTTTCTTCGACACGGAACTACTAAAATGGATTAAACTGCAAAATGATGCATAGAGGACAGCAGACAGATTCGTTCGAAGTAAAGATCGGTGTTAGGCGAGGTTGCTTACTTCCACCCTTTCTCTTTCTCCTAGTGATTGACTGGATTATGAAGACATCAACATCTGGAGGGAAGCATGAGATACAATGGACAGCTAGGATGCAGTTGGACGATTTAGACTTCGCAGACGATCTGACTCTTCTATCACACACGCAACAACTAACTCAGGAAAACATGACGGGTGTAGCAGCAGCCACAGAAGCAGTAGGTCTCAACATAAACAAAGGGAAAAGCACGATTCTCCGATACAACACAATATGCAACAATCGAATCACACTTGACGGAGAAGCTTTGGAAGATGTAAAAAGCTTCACATATCTGAGCGGCATCATTGATGAACATGGTGAATCTGATGTAGATGTGAAGGTGCGGATCGATAAAGCAGGAGCAGCCTATTTACAACTTGAAGGACATCTGGAACTCAAAACAATTGTTGACCAACACCAAGGTCAGAATTTTCAATACAAATGTCAAGATAGTTCTACTGTATGGGATGGAAACTTGGAGAACTACGAAAGCCATCATCCAGAAAATACAGGTGTTTATTAACAGTTGTCTACACAAAATACTACGGATTCGTCGGCCGGACACTATTAGCAACAACCTACTGTTGGAAAGGACAAACCAGATCTCGGCGGAAGAAGAAATCAGGAAGAAGCGCTGGAAGTGGATAAGACACACATTGAGGAAAACACCGAACTGCGTTACAAGACATGCCTTCACATGGAATCCTGAAGGCCAAAGGAAAAGAGGAAGACCGAAGAACACACTAGGCTGGGAAATGGACATAGACATGAGGAAAATGAACAAGAATTGGATGGAATTAGAAAAGAAGGTCCAGGACAGAGTGGGTGGGATAAAGCTGGTCGGTGACCTATGCTCCTTTAGGAGTAACAGGCGTAAATGAATGAATGATGAAAATCGGTTCGAACTATTTCTACATATTCAAAGTTATAATAAAACACACTCAGTCAGTCAGTAACAACGTAGAACGTCGTACGTACGTACATCAGTTCAAGTTGCCATGCCACATTGGCACAAAGATGCAGTTGTCAATTCGAAGTCCGTAGTGGTAGAGGTAGTAAAAGTATAAGCAGTAATCAGAGACATAAGGGTCTCTAACAATCGGTTGCTATCATATCGCTATTCCCAACCAGGTAGTTTAGACCTACCAACATGTCTCAGTCTATTTATCAGTGACTTCACGGATTTTGCCATGTTTTGATGTGGTCGCTCCTAGCTTTCTTCCAACCTACTCCTACACCATGAAACATCGTACTTTGAGGCAGTCGGAAGTTGGACATACGTAAAACGTGTCCCATCCATCTCAACTGACGACGTTTCACTACTTCATGAATTGATTTACCATCCTTACCTAGTACTCGCTTCCTAACAACTACACTACTTACTCGGTGGTCCCAGGATATACGAGCGATGTTTCAGAAACACCTATAATCGAATACTAGTAACCTGCCATGAAGTAGGACAGAACGGACTGCTGCGCAGTAAACTCATCCTTTAGTTGATAGACGAATATACTGCCTACGCCATAAATGACGTAATTTGGCAAAATCTAGTCGAGTCTTCTGTATCCATGCTGATATAATAAAACTATCAATAGTTTATACTAGTAATAATTCCCTTCAAACTTTTACTTTACGTGTAATTGTCTACTGACATTTTTTACTGTATATTTTTTTATTGCAGAAATCAGTTGAAGATCTTCAAATCCCTTTACGTGTAAATGGATTGAATGAGTTTTTATATTTACCAATTACAGCTAAAGTCCAAGGATTGTCAATAAACTATTTTCCATTCAATCAAGATATGTATGTCGTATTCAATTTTAAATATTGTCACTGTTTATTTATTTAAACATGCAAACATTAGTGCATTGGGTGACTAAAATATACATCTGCCACACAATTTTTTTGCGTCGGCTGGAATACTGCCCAGGATGCCCATACCGAAGTTGGTTCGATTTGTTTGGGAGCAATTTGTTTCCTTGAAATCCTTGAGCTCCTATACACCATTGGTTTGGAACTAAGGTTTTCTCACTCCACAAGATGGATCCTCCGTACCCACCGACCCGGTTTAAGCGCCAGATATTCGCTCAAATAAATGTTGATCTAGTGGTAAATGTAAAATTAGTCTAAGTTTCATTTGTTTTCAAAGTATTCAGCAGATATTGAATTCCGTTGGCTACATTTACCGTTATCTAATTTACTTTATTCTTCCGTTAAATAGTTAAATGGAAACAATTTCGAAACTAAATTTATTTCAAAATAAAATCTCAATCTTTTGTAAAATTGCTTATTATAATGAATATGCACTCACAATTTTTACAATGAATACACGACTGCAATAAATTCGAAGTAACTATACAGAAATCAAACTTCGAATATTTTTGTATTTTATTGTGTAATTGTAGAGATTCAATATGCAAAGAAAGTTCTCATGAAAATATCGATATTCCAAACAATAATTTAAATGAAACAACGATCTTAGACTTTGGACAAAATATTGGTCTTTTTGAACCAGTTGAAAAATGGATTGAATTTAGGAATAATACACCCATACCAACAAGAATATGCGTAGATACTGGGAGATTATCTACAAAAACTAATTATGCTGATTATGAGAATTTTCCTCATAAACCTAAACTTGGCGCTGTGAAATATTTATTCTTAACATCAAGACAATCTACTGAAAATTATTTAAGTAGTCAAAATGTTCTACACGACGTGGATGATCATAAAACTCAAATTAGGATTCTTTATGGTATGTTTAATGATGAATCAATGCGTATTACTACAATCTCCACAAATTCTCACTCTGACAATAACCATGCGCTCATTATTTACTAGCTTCAAGATAGATCTAGAGTTCTAGTGAGAAGCTGTGACCAGTGGAGTCCGATCCATGTTGGGTGTGAGACAGTTATCCACCTCAGACAATGGATGAAGGGCTGCAAAAGATCATGGATCGATTGAAGTTAGACATTAACACCGTTGGACACCAGCTCAGTGGTCTAGAGGACAAGCGTTCGCGCGTGAGGCCGAAGTTCTGGGATTCACGTTTCTTTAGTGCGCGATCGTTGATGCGCACTGCTGAGGAGTTCCATACTAGGACGGAACGGCCAACCAATGCTTCCAGGTTTTCAGTGGTAGTCTATCTTAGATGGAATCATGGGCCCAACTGTTAAAATTACTGTAATCTACACAGATACCCTAACTAACATTACGTATATGTTTAATGTTTTTCTCTGAATTGAATGGTTGAGTAGGAAAGCGATAGTTTTTTTTGGAAAACATCATCAGCGTTTATTTCATGTAAAAGACGTAAATTCGTTTCTGTTAAATGTATTTGAAAGTATTGATGCTTGTATGTTCCTTTTTGCAAGTTGAGATCCTTCGGAAGTGTTTATTGTACAATACACATCAGAGTTGTAGTTCACTAGAGCTTTGCTGATTAGCAGTCTTTTAATAATGCTTACTTTATTTCAATTGAACATTTGCGCCATATCTGTTCTTCTCTACCACATCATCACAACAAACATCAGATATATGTAAACAATTAGAGAACAAAGGTTAAAAGCAACCAGTCATGATCAAGGTCACATATATGTGAAGTTGAATAGCTCACTTCTATCTAAAGCTTGCCCGGTTGGCATTGTTTGGAAAAACAAAGAAAGCTTGACTTTTAAAACACCCAGCTCGAAGGATGGAACTCCATCAAAAACATAGTGGAAATATATAGGAGTTACATTTTCCACTGAAATTACTATATTAAACTTCATCTTTCATTTATTCTCCGCTTTTCAGATTGGTGTAATTTATTATTGAAACAGTCGAAAGGTGCATGTGTACTAGCACATTCAGCTATATCATCCACCAATTATACAACAGATTTTCAATTAGCCGAGCTTAAACCAATTACTATTAGTCAGTATACAACTACGCTACCAACTATTCCATCATGGTATTTACCAGGATATGGTTCACTAAGGATTTGTTTCATATGTGTAGCCAATCTATGGGGAGTTTATGAAGATAACATTTATATTTATGTATTGCCAGAATTTGATCTTACATCTGAATCCTATCTATCACCTGTTGTATTTTGTACATCTTTCAAAGTAGTTGGATGTCCAATTTATTCATTAGCCGCAGGTCATTTCGGTGAATTATCGAATAAAGCAATACTGAATACTGATGTAAAGAATGATTCAATATTTCCTAAAACTGCTTTACCAGTTAAAGCTACAAGACAATTTATACGATTCGGTAGTGCATTGTTTAATGGACCAGTTGTTAAACGTCAAATACGTTTACATAATTCATGTGAAGCTGGTAGGTATATGTGTATACTTAAAGATAATTTGAATACAAAACTATCAAAATTATGATTACTGTTAGCAATTTATTCATCAGTTAAAGAGTTACTCATTAATTAATCCAAAAGTTACCATCAATTCAGTTACATTGGAAATGAGCGAAAGGTTTCGTTTGTTGAAGCGTAACATAATATACTGATTATTTCTTACCTCAATGAAGTTTCTTTTCCCACCGTACATTTTATAATTACTCTCTTGTTAGCCAGTAGATTTAAACTTATTGAAATAAACAGTTTCATTTTAACCTTCATCGTATCATTTTAATTACTAAGATTCTATCGTAAAGTTATAGCTTTAGTCTTATATTACCGAATGACGATAGTTAGACGACTATTTAGAACCAGAGACTTTCTTTTGGTTATTTCGAAATAATTGGAAACTGATCAAATTGTCAGGGATATATCATCTTTATATTCTTTTGCTCTATACCATGCATTAGATGCAATTAAAATAGCTAAATATTCCGACCAGAGAAAAAACACTATTATATTGAACGTATTTGTAAACTCATTATGATATATCCATACATTGTTTGTTGTAACAAACGATATTTTCTGTTATTTATCAGACCGAAAGTAGTCTTTTTAGAAGACTGATTTATGTTATGTCAACCAAGTGGTTAGTCACTGTCTTTCGCTTTCATTATCATTGAGTGTTCGAAATTACATTGGCCGAAGCTGATTATTCCGTATTTCGCCTTTGTAATCAACTGATGAACTTGATTCTTTCCTATTACGAACGGTCTGTGACTGAATAGTTTAATGATAGCGTCTCTAACTGTTTAACGGAATGATCCTACCTCGAATATCTAAATAAACGTAACACTTATAATGACTTCACATTTATCTTTCTTCTAACTGCTAATAATCAAATAACTGAGGTTAAGCATGACATTCACTAAAATACCTTTAAGAATTCAAAATCACTGAATTATGCTCTAAATTAATCTCTCTAATTTAAACTATATTTTCTTATTCTCATAACGATTATTTGATCGCTGAGAAAATGTATTATCAGGAATTACGTAACATGAAAAATCAGACTGTTTATACCTAATCTCACTCCAAGCATCCATGTTAACTTATATAATTTTGATAAAGCCATTGTAGGGTCAGTGAAATTTCACTGAGTCCTAGCCAAATCATCCGGCAGTTTGGTCATGGAATATTGAACAGATCATCGATCCCCGTCAAGGTCAAGGACAATCAACGCGCATCAGTTAATCGTATGCCATGGACTGGCCGATGCAGTGGTGATCCCAGTATCTTCTCTGTACTCATTCTTACTAACATATTTCCGTAATAGTGTCATTTGTGTTGTACAGTCTTCAAAACATCCATAATACTTTGATACGACGAAGGGATAATCCATGTTAGATGCTAACCGCGAGGTTTGATTTAGACGTTAGTTGTTAGTCACACCACTTTCATCTAACTGGAGTAGGCGCAAAACCATTCGACAAAGATCAACGTTGATGGGACGAGTTTTCAGAAATAAGAATTACAGTAGTTCTAAATCTTTAGACTTAGATTACGAGCTCTAACATGAGAACGTTTAAGACATTGTAACACAAATTTTGTAGTGTTTAACACCTAAAAACGTAGCTTATCAGTCATTCATCGTACACCAAAAACATTATATGTATATTATAGGTATCCAGAAGTTTAATGATTAAAGTTTACTCGATTAACAACAAATTGAAAGTTTATAAATGAGTTGTAAATGATCCTTAATCCAAAAATAGGGTTTAAATTCTATATTTCTACAACATAAATAACCCTAATGTTTTCTAATTTAAACTTTACACTAAAATTTGGAAATCTATTTGAACTGTCACCAATGTAAGACCATTAGAATTCATTAATTGTTTAATATTTAACCTTAATTTAATTGTTTTCATTTATTGATTGATTGGCACATATTAGCTATTCGAATTGATTGGCAAGTGTTTTTGGATTCAGAAATAGAAGATCATAATCAATTGATTAATCTTTTATGTTTCATATCAGAACCTTTTAAAAATATTTCATATAATCATCAATTGAATAAAGAAAAATCATTGACTGGTGAATATTTAATACTGAATGAACGTAAGTAAATAATATAATGAATTTGACTTGAATAAATGATTGTTATTGATCTAGATCAAGTTAAGGTAATAATAACAACAACAACAACAAAAAATTGTTTGAAGTGTGATAAATAATCGATATGTTTCATTCAATATCAAAAAGAAATTACTAAACCTTAGAAACAATAAACTATAGCTATAGAATCATTAGATTGTTTCAAAGTAGAATTAATTCATTCTATGCATCCAAAAATCTTCCAGTTAGGCTAGAACTCAATACGATCAAAACTTCAAATGATCAAGGTAAAACCAACTTACTAATAGGCCCTGGGTTCGAATCTCGCGGGGTGCGGGATCATGGATGCGTACTGCTGAGGAGTCCCATACTAGGACGAAACGGCCGTCCATTGCTTCCAGGTTTTCCATGATGGTCTAGCTTCAATTGACTCATGATTTCAACCAGTGAAATTTCTAAAATCTCCACAAAACCCCTTTTGATATATAATAATAATAATAATACAAAAATTCATTGAACCATAAATATTTATTTAATGAAATTCATTGTAAAATATTATAGATCAAGAATCTTCATAATGAAATCAGAATATATTGTCATTACTTTTATTGATCATGATAATTGGCATAATATTATTTTTTCATGTTTACCAAACATCTCAGCATAACAATCTCAGCAATTGTAATTCACATTGTATATTTTTCACATGATCTAAATCTTATCTTATTTAGTAAAGTCAACGCTTGAATGTGATGGGAAAAATATTGAATTTTGATTTTATTTGATTGTTAAATGTCATAAATCTATTGATAAATTTGATTTAAGTTATGTACTCTGAAGAAGTCCAGGCATATTTGTTAGATGAAATGTTAAAATGATATGAGTATCAATCGCTGAGATTATTTCAAACGTACTTTCATAAATAATTATTTACTTACCCACTTAGGCCTATTACTCCCGATGGGGCATAGGACACCGATTTGCGTTCTTCAACCCACTCTGTCCTGGACCTTCTTTTCTAATTCCATCCAATTCTTATTCATTTTTCTCATGTCTTTATCCATTTCCCAGCGTAATGTGTTCTTTGATCTTTGTTCTCTCCTTTGAACTTCAGTATTCCAAGTGAGTAATTGCCTTGTGATGCAGTTGGGTGCTTTCCTCAATGTGTGTCCTATCCAATTCCAGTGCTCCTTCCTGAATTCTCCCTCCACTGGGTTCTGGTATCTTCTCTTCCACAGCAGGTGATTGCTTATAGTGTTTGCGTAGACAAATGTTAATAAAAACTTGTATCTTCTGGATGATGGCTTTCGTAGTTCTCCAGGTTTCCATCCCATACAGTAGAACTATCTTGACATTTGTATTGAAAATTCTGACCTTGGTATTGGTCGACAATTGTTTTGAGTTCCAGATGTCCTTCAAGTTGTAAATAGGCTGCTCCTGCTTTATCGATCCGCACCATCACATCTGCATCAGATTCACCATGTTCATCAATGATGCCGCTCAGATATGTGAAGCTTTTTACATCATTCAAAGCTTCTCCGTCAAGTGTGATTCGATTGTTGCATGTTGTGTTGTATCGGAGAATCGTGCTTTTTCCTTTGTTTATGTTGAGACCTACTGCTTCTGTGGCTGCTGCTACACCCGTCATGTTTTCCTGAGTTAGTTGTTGCGTGTGTGATAGAAGAGTCAGATCGTCTGCGAAGTCTAAATCGTCCAACTGCATCCTAGCTGTCCAATGTATCCCATGCTTCCCTCCAGATGTTGACGTCTTCATGATCCAGTCAGTCGCCAGGTGAACGAGAATGGGTGAGAGTAAGCAACCTTGCCTGACACTGGTCTTTACGTTGAACGAATCTGTGACCTGTCCTCTATGCATCATTTTGCAGTTTAATCCATTATAGGATTTCCGTAAGATATTGAATATCTTCTCAAGCACTCCTGTTGTTCCCGAAGTTGGGTGTCTATGGAGTCCTTCATTCTGTTTAACAAAACCCTGTTTAAGACGTTTTCTGATCTTGAGAGAAGAGTGATGTCCCTGTAGTTCGTACACTTGCTACGGTCGTCTTTCTTTGGTTTCTTTATGAGGTGTCCTTCTTTTCAGTCTGTTTGTACTTGATGTTTATCCGAAATCTTGCTGAAGAGAATGTGGAGCATCACTATAGTTACTGCTACTGTAGTGAACAAGAACACGGGTGGGGACAATCAAATGTATCTAGCATGAAAATTACAGACTATCTCAATAAAATCTGAATACCATGAAGTCAATCGTCAATTTGCAAAATATCAATGCATCATATCAAACTGGACTGTTTCCGTTGTAAACACTAATCCATTGTCTCCCATTCCATTGTACATGCGTTTTCTTACAAATTTCATTGTGCTGTCGCTCTTCCTTTCTTGATCTTCACCTCATCTTCTGCTGCCAGATATTACGTTTTAACTCGCGACATATACTATTTATATCAATATGAGTAGCACACACCACACTACGTCTGCTTCCAGTGCTTCTGCTGCAATGTTGTCTGGTCCAGTTGCTTTGCCGCTCTGATGACCATTTCTGGAATAATGTCTTTTGTATATTTTCAGTTCAATTCTGTCGAAAAAACGTGTTCAAATATTAGTTAATATTCGTACAAATTAATTGATCAGGGTTTACTATGCTATACACTATTATTTATTCGTATTCAATATTGGGTTATTTTGTTCGAACTTTATTTCAAGGTCATTCAGAACCTAAATTATTGTAAGAAACTTATTTTCTAGTTCTTTCACAAATCTTTAAAATTAAAGTCTAATTGTCAAACTTTTATTTGTTGCCAGCTTAATCAACATCCATATGAAATTCTATACGATAATTATAAAAGGGGTATGAAGTCTTTTGATAATTTTGTATATTTTTTCTAGTTTATGAAGTCCGTGCATTTATAAACAATAAATAGTGTATAGACGTAAACGCTAAGGCTCTCACCGATTATATTATGATACTGGCGCTAACCATGAGCTTTCAGAATGTTTCTCTTTTCTACTTCCAAAAAAAATATGCTGAGCTTCTTGGAATGTTGAATCGTAACCGATTTTTTTTACTTTTCCTGACAATTTTTAATCAGTATTATAAACCAGTCGTAATTACATAGATTGCTATATGACATTGAACTTATAAACTTAATTGTCAGTCTCGTTTTAATATTCGCAATACCATTTTCGCAATAATAATTTCGGTCAAATTATCGTCACATTTCTGTTTATTAATTTGATAAATTAGCTTTTTAAATGTTTGACTTTTTTATTCGTCTCTATGTTACTCTTCACTAAATCATGACTTCGTAATTGACATTGATTTTTCTATGGATTGAAATACATGTGATTTCTCATATGTGATACCAACACTTTGATTACATGATCAGCCATTATTTTTTTACAATGATCATGATTTAATAGTTTTAATTAATATTTAGGCCAATTAAACGAAAAAGAATAATATGCCAAGAATTATTATTCTTGGCAAATGTAACATTCTATGGAAAGTAATTATCATGCTAAACTAATATTGAATGAAGAGGTATTTATAAAAACTAATGAGTGTTAAACAAGATGTTCTGTGGTAGTTTTGTATTTCTCAGAAATGTGTATTAATAATCATTCACAGAATTCAAGTCTATAACGTTCAATTTCCATCAAATTTACATAAAATGGATAGACTAATAAATTATTTATAATCTAATGAAAGCTTTTTACTCATGATCTCAATCAAAAACTTAATAATCTCCACAACCCCTATACTAGTAATCAACATGTGCTCACTAATGACTAGCTTCGTGAGGGAATTCTCGGAGTTCTAGTGAGAAGCCGTGACCAGTGAAGCTAATCCATGTCGGGTAGAGACAGGTATCTACCTCAGTACAACGGAAGTTGGTTGCGCAATTTCGTGGATTGGTTGATGTTAGACACTATCACCATTGGATGCCGGCTCAGTGGTCCAGTAGGTTAAGCGTTCGCACGCGAGACCGAAGGCCCTGGGTTCGAATCCCGCATGCGGGATCGTGGATGCGCACTGCTGAGGAGTCCCACAATAGGACGAAACGGCCTCCAGTGCCTCCAGGTTTCCAAAGGTGGTCTAACATCAATTGGTTCATGATCTCAAACAAAAACTTAATAATCTCCAAAACCCCTATACTAGTATTAGTGTTTAAATCAGAGATCATGACTAACTGTCAATAGAATTACCAGCCTCAAAAAACGATTTATAATTTCTCTGTTTTAGTTTATTTTATCATGAACATGCTTTTAAAGATGAAGCCTTTTATTTGACGTATTCCCGTGCCTAGTTTAACAATAGAGGATAAATAAAAATAATATATTTGTAATATCCCAATGAGTACAAAATTGGATTTTCTGACGTTTCGTGACTTAGTGTAAGTCACTTCTTCAGAGAATAAATAACCAAATTAAAATTAATCCAAGTTTAAATAGTACAATGGAACAAAGCAAGAATAATATTTGATCAATCAAAAAACAGGTCTGAACAAGTTGATGTCATGTCATTTCTGTCAAGTTGATTCATAAGTTGTTGAGTATGTTGACCCCTTTATTTACACTGAAAGTTTCATTAACCCGGTTAGTTCGATGAATAATGAAATTTTTAAATGGATTGGAAAATCTCATGCTATTTTACCATTGTTTCGTTATTTGTATCTCTAGTAAAACGTTCTTACATTCCCGGACTAAAAAACCAGTTTACTATGATTGTGAAATATAGAATTCAAAATTATAAAATATGCGTAAACTATTAGTGTTTAGTAACAGTTACTTACGTAACATAATTCATGAATGACAAACCTACTAGATGAGTAATCATTTGCCTAGGTGAAGAATACACAATAAAGATGCTTGATCAGCTAATTATATCATAAATTCTCATCGACTAAGGTGACTAAGACATGATTACCATTTTGTATGTGACCAACTAGTTGACCACTAGTATAGGGGGTTGTGGAGATTAGTAC